GTAGCAAGAAGAATATAAAGAATTGGCTTGATTTCAAAACTCTTATCTCTTTCCCAGGATTAATCTAGGGTTGCTTTTGGTACCACATATGAATTTCAAGCAGAAGGGATAAAGATAAATTTTGATATCTTTAGCCAGTATTACCATCCAGTGATTTTATTCTTTGTTGTTGTTGTTAGTTGCGAAGTCATGTCCGACCCATCGCGACAATATTCGCGACAATGGAAGACAACGTTCCTCCAGGCCTTCCTGTCCTCTACCATCCTCTGAATTCCATTTAAGCTCATGCTTACTGCTTCAGTGACTCCATCCAGCCACCTCGTTCTCTGTTGTTGTCCTCTTCTTCTTTTGCCCTCAATCTTTCCCAGCATTAGGCTCTTCTCCAGTGAGTCCTTCCTTCTCATTAGGTGGCCAAAGTATTTGAGTTTCATCTTCAGGATCTGGCCTTCTAAAGAGCAGTCAGGGTGGATCTCCTCTAGGACTGACCGGTTTGTTTGCCTTGCAGTCCAAGGGGCTCGCAGGAGTCTTCTCGAGCACCATAGTTCAAAGGCCTCAATTCTTTGGCACTCAGCCTTTCTTATGGTCTAACTTTCACAGCCATACATTGCAACTAGGAACACCATAGCCTTGACTACACACACTTTTGTTGGCAGGGTGATGTCTCTGTTTTTTAGTATGCTATCCAAATTTGCCATAGCTTTTCTCCCCAGGAGCAAGCATCTTTTAATTTCTTGGCTGCAGTCCCCATCTGCGGTGATCTTGGAGGTTTTATTCTAGTCTCGTAGAAATCCCAAAGTTCATTCCCAAAGTTTTCATCCAGAGCAATATATAATGAGTAAGTGATTAAAAGTCATCTTGAGACCAGGTCTCCATCAATAAGCTTAGGAAGTGTATAAAGAGCAGTGTCCTTCTAAAAGCTAAAATGAAAGGTATCTCCACTTTGGGTGGGGAAAAAAATACTTTGAGCAAGATTTTATAAATTTTTTCAGAGGAACCACATTTCAGTGACTGACTATTTAAATTTAAGCATAGCTAATTAGGTAATTGAATAATCATAATGCGCTGCATTAATAAAAGTCATCATTTATAAATGGCCATAGCTGGATTTGAGAAGTCCTTTGGTGCTCTGAGTTTCTTGTTTTCTTGCAGATGTTTCATTACCTCAAATTAAATGACATCATCAGTACTGGGGGTTATTTTATTTATTCATTTGTCAAGCATATATAAGATAACAGATAAAAGTATAAACATGAATTATGAATACATGACATGGATACGAATAAAAAGGGACATTAAGACAGGGACAGTAGGCACGTAGGTGCAGTTATGCACCCCCCTTACAGACCTCTTAGGAATGGGGGGAGGTCAACAGTAGACAGTCTAAGGTTAAAATTTTGGGGGTATGGGAAAGAAACCACAGAGTCAGGTAGTGCATTCCAGATATTGACCACTCTGTTGCTGAAGTCATATTTTCTGCAATTAAGTTTGGAGCGGTTTACCTTAAGTTTGTATCTATTGTGTGCTTGTGTATTGTTATGGTTGAAGCTGAAGTAGTCATTGACTGGTAGGACATTGTAGCAGATAATTTTATGTACTATGCTTAAGTCAGATTGAAGGTGACGTAGTTCTAAATTGTCTAAGCCCAAAATTTCAAGTCTGGTGGCATAAAGTATTCTATTGCGAGGAGGGGGAGTGGAGGACTCTTCTCATGAAATAGCTCTGAACTCTCTCAATTATGTTAATGTCCGATATGCAGTGCGGGTTCCAGACAGATGAGCTGTATTCGAGAATTGGTCTAGCAAATGTTTTGTATGCTCTAGTAGTAATACAATATTACCAGAGAAGAAGCTATGCAAGATTAGGTTAAGAACTCTTAATGCCTTTAGAGTTAGAGTTAGGGTAACACTAGAATGGATGATGTTACCTAGTTTGGGATAATGAAAAGTCTGCAAGAAAACTCAGAGCACCAAGGACTTCTCATATCAACCCTAAATTACAAATATTCTCCTTTAATAGCTGGATTTATATATCATGCTAACTCAAAACTAAGCCAATCACCCTGTGGCTTTGCAGAATTTGAATCTAGAGAGTTTCTTGCAGGGGTGAAATGCTCCCAGTTCGGACCAGATTGCCCGATCCGGTAGTGATGGCATAGGGTGGTTCGGAGAACCAGTAGCAAAAATACCTGCCCCCCCCATGCCTCTCATGCCGATCATCAGAGGCTTTTTTTTTTTTTTTTTACTTTTAAAAGCATTTTTTTCTACAACCTCTTCGGCCAAAGAGATTGTAGAAAAAATGCTTTTAAAAGAAAAAAAAAGGCCTCTGATGATCAGGCAACTCATCTGGGATCGTCAGAGCCTTATAGAAGCATTTTTTTTTACAACCTCTTTGGCTGAAGAGGTTGTAGAAAAAATGCTTTTAAAAGGTAAAAAAAAGCCTCTGACGATCCCAGCTAAGCAGCGCAATCGTCAGAGGCTTTTTTTTTTACTTTTAAAAACAATGCTTTTAAAAGTAAAAAAAAAGATTGTGCGCCACAGCTGATCACCCCCCACTCATGCGCTGTTCTACTTACCACATGCCTTCTTTTGGCGTGCACTGCGCGCGTGCATCTCACATTTGGTGCATGGTGTGCACTGCGCGTGTACATCTCACATTTGGTGCATGGTGTGCATTGCGCGTGTGCAGCCAGCGAACCGGTAGTAAACCGGTTCAGATTCCACCACTAGTTTCTTGCTTATTGCTTTCATGCCTGCCCCTCAGAAAAGTCGTCTGGATTTATGTGAATTGCAAATTAAGGACGTTTCTGGTGGCAGGAGAGCGAGGATAAAGAAGGGAGTGCCTGGCCCCATTTCTTAATGCAGTCTTCTACCTCTGATCCTTTTGAACTTAATGCAATTCATATTTATGTCTTATGTGTCCACTGATTCTGTATTGTGAAATTCAGTGCAACTATTAGGCAAAATGGTGACGACTATACAAATGTGATCATTCATTACATTTTCTGCATAAAAAATGTTCTATTGTAAGCCACCCAGAGTCTCTTGGGAGTTGGGCGGCATAGAAATATGATTAATTAAATTAAATTAAATAAGGAGTTGGAAGGTGCAGAGTTTTGTATTGAAATGGATTTTATCAGTTGCTATGAAGTCTCCGTCCATCCCAGCAGTTATAACCATTTTAGGCTGTGAGAAGAGGGAGACAGCACAAAATCTATTGCTTGGTGATATCTAGGTATATGCATTAAGATCAGAACCACCATTTTGAGACTGACCTTGACTTATAGATGGCTCATAGGCTAGGCCTAGTGCAGGGGTCAGCAACCTGCGGCTCTGGAGCCGCATGTGGCTCTTTCTTTCTTTTTTAAAAAAAATTTTTTAATTGAAATTTATTATAATACAATATAGTACAATCAGTCAGATAGTTGAGGCCAACCATGGATAAATCCAAGAAAAGTTTGAGAAGAAAACAGAACATTTAATTCAACTACATATGCTAGTTCTGTGGCTGTTCAGAAAATAGTCGGGCATGGGAAAGGTTTTGTGGCTCCCGGTGTTTTCTTTTCTGTGGGAAATGGGTCCAAATGGCTCTTTGAGTGTTTAAGGTTGCCGACCCCTGGCCTAGTGTCTCAGGTTTCTTATTTCCTTCATATTTCCTGGGTTTTGTTTCATTTTTCATTTTGTCTGCTGATGATCTTTAGAGAACTGGAAAGCTTGCGTATTATTCTGTGTCCTTTTGGGTGGTCCTTAAAAAGACATAAACTTGGTCTTGATTTTAATGCCTTTTGCTGGGAAATAACCTCACTTCAGGGGGTGGCAAATAGAGATCCTCACCACCTCAGGTGGTGGCTTACAACATACAAAAACTCTATGTGATTTTCTTGTGCTTCATACTGTTTCTTGGTATATGTGTAGTTATTTTTAAGAAGACCAAACATTAAGAAGGCCATCCATTTTAGCCCATCTGCTTGCTTTTGTAACTGATACCGATTCCATATTTTCTCACGTTTTCAAATATACCTTTGAGGACCAGAAACTTATAACCAGGAACACCAATACAGCAGGATACTTAAGAAGCTGGGTTCTGCATGCCCTGCCATCTTTAATAACTATCAGTTATATGTACATACACTCTTCAACAGAAGAATAGACTATTCGGACTCAAATTCTCCTCCTCTGTATAAATGTTGGACCAATTGCAAGCAGGGTTCAATTAGGCAAACAACAACAAACATGGAAGCTCCTCCTTAGTCAACAAGAGCTGGTTTAGAATAGCTCTGCTTTCTCTCTGCCTCCCATCAATTGACTCATCTCTCTCTCTCTCTCCCCCTCTCCCCCCTCTCCCCCCTCCCTCCCTCTCTCATGCCTTTCAAGAAAGAGAGAAAGTTTTCACATAACCCTCTTTCTCCATTTCATTACCCATTCCTTGTCTCTACATATCTTGCCACACACTGAATGTATTTCGCCTCTCTGTAAAATGCATGTCAGGGATACAGTAATCTTCTTCTCCAGCCTGGGATTTCCAGGTTCACATTCAGCCTGAACATTGGGCAATGATGTTCATCAGCTTTAGAGCTTGCTGACTTGATGCTTTTATTTGGGGGGTTGATTACATGTCATTCGTTCCAAAATGCCTAAAGGTTCATTTGTCCCGCGGAATGTTAGCGCTTTAGCCACCCAAGAAAATTCTGGGTTCGGGTACGGAACACGCGCGCGAATTGAGGATTATGCCTTCCGGATGCCTTGGGTTACCCATTCTGTTCTTACCATCCCTTCCTTCTTCAGCTGGCACGCTTTCTCCCAGCTAAGGGCAAAATTCCAGTTGCAGGCGGCGATGTGTGCGCTTGTGTTTCTATGTGTATAGGGGCGGGCTCTCTCTCTCTCTCTCTCTCTCTCTCTCTGGTTCTGGTGCCAGGCGGGGTTTTCAATCCCCAAAGGAGAGGGTTGTTCTCGGAGAAACGGGGAAACCCACCCTCGCTCAAACGCCCAGTGGCGGGAGGACGGGCGCGCGCGCGCGCGCGCGTACACACACACACACACACACACACACACATACGCAAACACACACACATACACAAGCTGGTTCTTCCACTGAGCAGCACACATCTACCTTCCACCCCTCGGGAACCGCGACTTTCTCACTCCCTCCGCCGCGATGTCTCCTGAGCTGCCCAAATTCTGACCGAGGGGACCCGGTAGCGTCCGCCTCCCGCAGGCATTCGCACAACGAGTCCAACCTTGACACGCGTGGCGGTGATCACTTGGCAAATTTCCCGCGTCTTGCCCGGGCGTGATGGGGCTCCTTGCGGAAGGCTGGGGTCACCGATTTCGCGTTCCGGGAGGCTCCAAAGCCTGCGGATTCAAGGGATAACAAAAAAGAGAAAGGCGGGAGGGGTGGGGGGAGGAAAGGGAGAAAAGCCGCAATGCCTGTTGCTTGGACGGGGAGCGTGGCGGATTCTGAAGACGCCCCTTCCACCCATTCGCCTTGTTTCTTCGCCCCTTGGGCTGCAGGTCTCCGGAGGACCGAGAAAACCGGTGGCTGGAGGCAAAAGGCGACAGCAGGTGAGTCCCACCTTCCATCCGCCCCGCGCGTGTGGAACAGACGAATGAGCCGAGCAAACGGGGCTCTCCGAGGGCTTGCGCTCCCGAAAGCCCGAGACAGTTTCAGAAAGGCGGCGGAGGCGCTAGGCTGCAGTATGAACGAGCTGGTGCAACTTTCCCGCATCGGTGAAAGTTGCATCTGAGGACAAACTCTTTCCCCCCCCCACTCCATTCCCCCAGCCCCCACCTAGACAGACGTGCACCTGAACTGGTATTTACTCAGAAGCAAGCCAGCCCCTTGGACACTATTCCCTGGGAGCCGCTTACTTCCGAGGAAATGCGTGGAAAATCGCAGTGACCGGGGCTGCACATCTTTGATCGCTGGGAATCCTGCAGAGGAGTAATCACGGGGCAATGGAGTTACGCCGCAATCCGAGACAGCTCTGGCTACTCAGACGGAACCTCCCCCGTGGGCCTTGTGGCTGGTGCAGCCAGCTCAGGATCGCAGCCTCGGCGATCTTTAGAAAGGAGTGGGAAGCTCCGAGGGGGAGGACTTTCGAAGGGCCACGGTGCCTGAATTTTCCGGAGGGGGCGGGAAAGGGGTGTGTGATTTTTCGACCGTCCTTCAGGACCCAGGTAAGGCAACCAGCTGCGGAACGGAATCCTGAGCCCGATCCAAACAGGCTTCATGTTTCCGCCTTTCGTTCTCCTGCTCCCTATGCTTTCCTTATCTGAACTTCTAGGAACGACGTAGCGTATTGTGCTATTGTCAACTAAAGCTGGGGAATCTCCTACACTGAGCTAGCGGCGAGTGTGTGCCTGTGTGTCTCGCGGGGTCTCTATTGGGGAGAAAGCTGCTCGGGTGCCCTCTTGTGGCTACCTTCCATATAAAAATCTTTTATTTTTATAAATAAAAGATTATGGCTTTTTAACCTTAATTTGAAGAAGGGCGGGCAGGGGAAGGAAATCAAGATTTTGATTTTGATCGTGAGAAAGCTGATTTTCACCTTCATTCGCACTTGGTCTGATGGAAATCATTGTCGCAACATGATTTAAGTTAGTGATTTTTCACAGTGGGTTAAGAGTTTTCAATCACCCTCTGTTTTTTTTGTTTAACATAGCTTTTCCACATTCTGGCAAGTTTTGCTTATATTTAAAAAGAAGAAAATGATACTACTTTGTGAGCTATTTCATAGGAGCATGCTAGAGAGTGGTCAGTTGTAGCCATTCCTCCTAGCTCTTCATCAAAGTATCAGGAGCATGTGAACATATAGACACACAGACACATACACAGACACACCAATCCTGTAAAATAAATAGACTAAATGGAATAGCAAGAATAAAGTACTGAAATGCTACACCATTGTTAAAAACCGAAACATAACAACATAACATTCTTCCCTTCAAATTTGATTCTCAGCATAGCCTTCTCTAATGATTTTTCCCTTCCTAGATGTGTGGAGCCATCACATCTCCCATCATCCACATTCTGCAAACCATAATGCTGGAGGTAGAGGTGATAGTCCCACGCATGATGCAAGGTTGAAGAGAAATGATGCATTTGTAAATCACATGGCGCAAACCTGATTCAAATTTTCCCCAATGTATGTGTGCCAGACTTTCTCCCTACATATGCACATACATTACAGCATTAGCATGCTTCCAGAAGATGGGTCATTCTAATACTCGTACATCTATCCTGTTTAAGAGCAATATTATACTAGATTTTTTTTTTTTTAGAAAAAGACGACCTTATTTTATTGCAGAGGACTTCCTTTCTGCAGATTAGGTCCACCAAGAAAAATGACATCACAACAGCAGCAGCATCAAAAAAAAAAAAAGAAAGAAAGAAAAAGAAAGAAAGAAAGAAAGAAAGAAAGAAAGAAAGAAAGAAAGAAAGAAAAAGAAAAGGGGGTGTGTAAGAGATGATTTTGTTCTACTATACCAAAATCTGCAATTCAATATCTTCTGAAGTTAGGCTTTAAAAAACCCCAAATCAAGCAAAAGAAATTGGCAGAGGTGTGCATGCTGCAGTCTTTAGAAGTCTGGAAATGTCATAGGACAAACACTCCAGGAGATATGGATGCTCTCCATATTGGCTCTTCTGGAGCTGTGAACAATGGCTACTTCTTGTAAAAAGAGCATCCTTGTACTGGGTCAGCTTCTTGACAACACTCACAGAAATAAGGTTTTACATATTATATACATTAAGCAAAGCTCATGTTGCTGCTCAGGGGCTTATTAAACAGCTGGTCAGAGAGTAAGAACTTAGGGAAATTCTAAATGTTCAATGCAGTCTATCTAAAACATTTTAATTGCCTCTCTCTTGTTCAAAAAGTTCCCAAGGCAACAGTCATAAAGATACCAGGGCTGGCACCGGATAGTACAAATGAAGTAATTAGGTTTCAATGCTTCGCATCAACCTGCTCCTCCTTGGCATCCTTTAGATCTGTTGGGACTACAGCTCCCACAATCCCAACTAACACAGCCATGTTGGCTAGGGAATTTTAGGATCGTAGTCATATAACATTTCGAAGGCAGTTGATTGGGAAACAGTGGGATTTATTTCTGAATGCAGTTGGCTTTTGCTGTCATCACTTTGTTAAATCATCAATTCAGATGTATCTTAGATGGAATCCTAGAAAAAGCTTCAAAGAGACAAGGTTTGACAGTGAAAGGACATTAATGTAGGAGACAAAGCTTTCTTGCGAAAGAATTACACATAAATTCCAGCTTTAAAGGACCTTGCCTGTCAGACCTACTATAGTTTTGAAAAAAAAAAACTGGCCTCATATTATTTGAGCAGATTCACATGAGAAAAAAATGGTCCTGTAAACATCAGGATCCTGCTCATCTCATGTGATTTAGACTCATGAGCAGTTGAAATTATTTGGCTCCAATGATTATTCTACCTCGTGCCCATAATTTTTAGACTTCTGATTTGGTGTCTTCAAAATGTTATGGTGCACTCATCATTCCTAGAGGCCCAGACTGAGAAGGGCCAATCTCTGAGTGTATAATGCGGAGGATATTCCAGAGGGGTAAGTCCTGATATGTCTCAGTATACAGACATTCATCTTCCTCATTCCTTCACCCTATTCCTCTCAGTGGAAGGAAATTTAAGCAGAATTCTGAGAGAAAGGAATGAAGCAATAAAATTTTTCCTTCCATAAACCTAGCTTGCACAGTGAGGTTTCCCATGATGAAAAGTAAAGAATTACTGTATATCTACTACTAGGAAGTGCCTACTGCCTTTAGTAGGTGTAAGGTACTAGCTTCTTCCCCTGTGTCCTCAAGAAGAGAGTGGAGTGAGGCATGGTATCATTGACATTATCACCTATAATAGATGACAGAGGTGTTACTGAGGACACTCCACATGATGGCATCAAGTAGGACATCAGTAGCTATTTAAACAGTCCTGCCCTTCTTTTTACCTACTGCTCTTCCATTTTCATACATAGTGCTCTGTCTTCATAGTTTTGTATTGCTTAAATAGGATGCTTGCTAGATTTGTATATGTTCTGACTCTACTGCTGCTATCTTCAGGGATTCTGGGCTCCCGCCTTCTCAGTGATGACCTTCCTCCTTTGGGACAGCTTACCCCTGCATATCTGGATCACCCCCTCCTACCTGTAAAAACATGACTCTTCAGGAAGGCATTTGGAAATGAGTAAGATCATGCTACCCCCAATATGATGGCACATTGGATTATAATTGTACTCATTGCATTTTGCTCTTAATCTTATTCTTTTGATATGGGAAGCCACTAAGGAAATGTAGTGGCATACCATTTGTTACAATAAACATTATAAATAAATCTAGTTAAATGTTTAGAATTAAATTACTAGAGGATGTATACATTTAATAGTGGCTTCAAAGAGATAATATCAGCTGCTGAGAGACAAAATACCAGAGTCACTTATGTTTGTCCTGAATCCCAGAAAAATAAACCTATTTTACTTGAATGTCTCTTCACCTGATTCTACAAAATGTAAATTAAAACCTAAAATCTGGCAGCTACACCGTTACTTATTTGTTGCTCACCTTTGAATAAGTACATATAAGCAATTTGCTGATTTTCTGCCTTCCCAAAGCTTGTGGCACACCAGGCTCTGAAAAGTTTTTAAAAATGAGCCAAATTCAGATCTGACCTGTCTCATTTAAGTAGTATTACCTGATGGCTTGGAAGACATTTTGACTCATCACTGCTGATCAGAAAAAAGGCTACCAAAAACAAGCTGCAAAAATTCAGATGATCCCGAAAGGGCAGCCAAGGGGTTGGTCATCAGGAGTTTAGTAGCTCAAATCTGGTAGGCTTAATTACTAGAAGTTTTTCTCCTGTTCCTATTTATGCAAGCCAAAAGTAAAGGGCCAGGCTAACACACTCCCTTTCTATTATAGCTGAAATGTTGCTTTCAAAAACTGAAGAAAAATTATTTTAATGAAGATTTTTCATTTGGCTAATAGTCTTCCATCAAAATGAGTAGAATTCACAGAAGTGTTTCTTAACCTGAGCAATTTTTAGATGTGTGGATTTCAGCTCCCAGAATTCTCCAGGCAGTGTGCTGACTTGGGAATTCTGGGAGATGAAATCCACACATGTGAAGATTGCTGAAGCTGAGAAACACTGATCCACAGAATACTCTCAGTTTCTCCTTTGACAATGGCAGCCACTTTAGCTCCCTGCTCAAGTCCAGCTCCTGTGCTCTTTTCTTGATACAAGTCTGTGCCTCAACTTACTTCCTTACTCTGTCAGTAGCTTTAGTTCCTGAATTATATCAGAGCTCTGCTGCAAATGGTTGCCCTGACTGGCTAAGGTCTCTTTAGCTACTGTCTTGAAAACAAGGAAGTACAATATAGTTTATGTGTGAAAGCCGTAATTTCCTAGACCTAAAGCCCCTTAATGTATATTAATTTCAAAGGGGCTTGCTCCAAGTCTCCTTGGTAATCAGAGTGGTTAATTGGCCAGTCTATCATAGACAGGGATTTCCTCATCATTCTGGGTGCTTTTAAGCACAACAATCCATCATTTATAAGGACTAAAACTGAATCTCTTTCATCATTTAATGGGATTGCCTTTTTGGCAAAAATTCCATTTTCATGAAAGGGAGGAAAGACCCAAACAACTTTGCTTGGCTCCTTTGATGGAATTCTAGACTCTTAACCTTTTATAGTTCTGCTGTAAGATAATTTTTTTGAAAGTCTATAGGACCTCTCCCTCTCTGGCTTCTGGACTGGGCAAAGATCCACTGAGTACATCTGGGAAAGCCACTAGGCTGTTCCACTGATTGCATAGTATTCATTTAAAAAGTACAGTATGTGCGTTAACATTTTGCTTCCTGACTATGTTGTACACACTTTCTTTCCTTCCTTCCTTTTTTAGAAGAAAAGTTACAAATATTCTCAGCATCCTTAGAGGTAAAAATATATAAGCAGAAGCTAATATTCAGTGAGGCGCATTGAGAGTGAGCTTTAGCCACTGATTCCTGATTACCAAGAAAATATGCAACATTAACCCTTAAATCTAATTTATTTGGTTTGGGTGTAGTGTATTATATGGAAACAAACAAAGGTAGTCCTCAACTTTTAATAGTTTGTTTAGTGACCGTTCGAATTTACAAAGCCTCTGAAAAAAATGACTTATAACTGTTTTTCTTACTTACGACTACTGCAGCACTCCTCATAGTAATGTAACCAAAATTCAGACACTTGGCAACTGACTCATATTTATGACGTTTGCAGTGTCCCAGGGTCATGTGATCCCTTTTTGCGACTTCCTGACAAGCAAAGTCAAAGGGGAAACCAGATTCATTTAACAACTATGTTATTAATTTAACAACTGAAGTGATTCACTTAACAAATGTGGCAGGAGAGTAATATGGGGCAAAATTTAACAAATTAGCAACAAAATTTTGGGCTCAATTGTGATCATAAATCAAGGACTGCCTGTATTTTAGTTGATAAATTATACTTTCATACTTTATATGATATAAAAATATAAACCAAAATATGTGGCATATTCAACTAACTATATAATAAAGCATGGCTTAGCATGGTATTTGCAACAAGGACAGTGGTACTTTGGTACTCAACTGCTTTGAAATGCATCAAATTTGGTACTCAATGCATTTTGATGCAAACATTTTGTTGAGGTACTCATCGTTTGTTTGGTACTCAATGCACAAGCTAGAACTTGCCTATGTTGGCTGCCATGTGACTCACTACATTAATCCTTATGGGAAAATTTTGTTTGGTACTCATTGTTTTTGGTATTCATTGCACCTCCTGGAACCAATTAATGATGATCCTGGAGGTACCACTGTATTAGAGAATTCAATCAGATATACAAGTTTCCCCCTTTTAAATCTTCCCTTTCCAAGGCTAAAATTTATGGCAATTTGGGATGAAGTTGGATCAGTAGATATTACTTTCCATCCTTTTTTTTTTAAATAGGGGAGGAAACAACTTCTGAAATGGATATGGTGATTTTTCTGTTTATTATACTTATACTTATTTACTTATTATACTTATTTTATTTACTTGCTAATTGCAAAAAAAAAAATTCAGAATGATGCTGACGTGACAGATGTTTCAATCTGATTTACAGTTGTGTGTCGGAGATTGTTTTGGACATATTAGTGAATGATTCATATTCAGAACTGGAAGGCAAACACCTGTCTCTGTTGGTTCTGCTGTTCTATCTTATCTCCAGGCAATTTAACATATAGATGAAATCACTTGCAGAGTTTGCAAGCCATTCATATGGTAAAGACACACCCAGTTATTTTTCTCTTTCCCACTGAAATCGAATAAAGTTGTTCCAATGTCTGAACTGATACTTGGTGTTTAAAATAGCTCAAAAGACAATAAACACATTAAAGCTTAATCCAGACAAGAGAGATGCTCTTGGATACTTGATAGGCAGTGACATTTCTGTGCAGGACAAAGGTTGAAACTGCTACTTGGGTATATTTCACAAACACTTTATTTGATGCCAATGGAACTGAGTCTACTTCTTAACAAATTTCTTTTTTCTGCTAATGGTTACCTTCCCAACCCCAACCCCAACCTCATCTGATTGTTTTTTTAAACTTTTAGAATTTATTTTGGTATGGATCATCTAAACTTTTCAAGCCTATATGTGCCTCTCTTACAGGTTTTTTTTCCCAAGAAACTACAGCCTCCAAACTACAGTCTTTCTTGTTGAGACATAGTTGAATTGTGTTACTTGGAGGGAGGGAGCTTTATCCCTTATTTCTTTGTTTAAAATATATTGGAATAGGACAAGGAAGATATTGAGAAGCAATGGTCCAATCATTATTTTCTTATATAACGTATCATCTGTGAGCTCCCCAAATAAAGGATGTGTCTTTTCAGCAGATCTGTCAATTTTAAATACAAAGCCTACTCCAGAAATAGTGCTTATAGACATCTTCCTCACCAGGCTCCCATGCAACTAATTTTTTAAAAAATATCATTTTACTTAAATAGAAGTTAAATGGAAATCTGACATGTTGCAAAGCAAAGTGGCAGCTTCCAACCTCATTTTATTTCCAAGAATGGATTTTTTTAGAAAATAAAAGTGATAGGTAACTGCCACCTACTCAGAAAAAAAGGTGGTGCTAAATTGTAGGGATAAACATTCTGTAGATGATGGTGAAAAATATAACCTCCTGTTTCGTGACGGATGTGATTCATCATGGCAACCTGTTTGTGAAGTGTACCCATGACAGATCTTTGAAAAAAAACTGCTCACAAAATGCTCTCAGAATTCCAAGTTAATTTCTCTCCAACCTGTTAAACGTCTTCTGCTTCCTCTCAGAATGATACTTATGAGTATGCCCAGTGGGGTGCTGATAACAATCCCTTGTACCCAGTTGGAGAGTAGAGTGGATAACTGAAGCTTCTCAAGAAAATATGTTCTGGATGTCATAGAGAAAATCTTTGTACTATAGTGAATGTGAAATGCTTTACATCCTGGTCATTACCATAATGGATTTATGTTGCAGTTACATTGTGTTAATCTTTGGCTGTTCTAACAGGCTGCCTACACTATGCTCTCTTCGAGCCAGCTAATTCTTCTGTAAAAAAAGAATTGAGATCTCTATAGCCTGAACAAAGAGTTGATGGCTGTTTCGCGTCATGTTCTCAATTCCTGGTTTAGTCACCTGAACTGATATAGGTTTCATCTGCAAGCAGGACAGGGTTTATCATCTGCTAGGTGGTGGAATTCAATACTCTGGTGTGGAATTTAGTAGTCGGTGATCTTGCCAGAAGCTTGTTTTTTCTAATATGGCATTGTTAATAGAATTATAGTCTCATCTCTATCTATCTGTGTATCTGTCATCTACTTATCTGCTCAACTTCCCTCCCTCCCTCTATCATCTCCCATCTTTTGAACAGGAGTTGGCATGCATCGTGTTCTTTCCCTTGTTGTTTCTCACAACAGCAATCCTGTGAGGTAGGTTGGGCTGAGAGAAAGTGTCGGGCCCAAAGTCATCCAGCGAAGCCTTCTTAATACATATATGGGGCTCTCAAGTTAAGTTGGAAAATGTTCATTAGGTATATATATATATATATATAGTAGCTAATATCTGCATCTATAGTTGCTTTGGGTGTGTTTTGCTGCAAAAGTGTAACAGACAGATAAATTGTCTGCAAATTAGTATGAGTACATGGAGTTGCCTCCCATGCACTTGCAGATGTATTTTATTCATCTTACCTACTGAGTGCACATTAAACTAAGTCATCCTATTCAATGAATGGGACAGTGCTCTTTACTATCTTAGTCCTGTCCCACAGGACCTTAGTCCTTCCCCATCAAGGCCCTAAAACTTCCTGTGTCTTTCAAACTAGGAACAGCCTAGTTTGAACTCTCCCTGGTTAGCAGAATTTAGAATGTGAACCCATATTTGAAATTATAGTTAAAACTTCTGCTAATAGAAAATGGCAGCCTGGGTTCACATAACAAGTTCAATCTTGGGTAAACCTTGATTAGATGGCCATATGGAATGGGATGAGTATGCATGATCACAGCTCCCACTACCCAATTAATTATGGAAGGTGACTTAGCCTTTGTGTGAATGTAATGAGACAGACTCCAGTTGATGAGATACACTCTTGCACCTCAGTTTTGCCCAATGTGAATCAATCCTGCGTTAATATAGAAAATATACCCAGACCACATACTTTTGTTTGGATAGTGGAAATTCTAAAGTGTTGGTTCATACCTAGCTTTCCCCCGCCTGTTCTGTCTTCCACAGATAGCACTCCCTAAGTCATATTCTCCAAGACTTCCTAAGAAACAGAGAAAGTACTGGAAGGAACAGATGACAGAGTGGATATACAGTTACCTGGTGCCCCAATATGCCTTTTCTGGATTGGTTCCTCTACCACTCAGTTGCCATGTGGCTGCTCCTCCAGAGTTTTGTTCTGATGGCCTTTTGTTTCCACTCAGCCACCACTTTTCCCAAGGGGTGTTACCCCTCCACTGAAGATGGCTTCAAAACTTTCCGCTGCAGTAAAGCTCAACTTACAGTTATCCCAAAAGATATACCCAATGATACCAACAAGTTATACTTGGATTATAATAAGATTTCTTTCCTGCCCAATGACGCCTTCCAACATTTGCCACTTCTAGTAGAACTAGACTTGTCCCACAATGTCATAAGTCGCATGGAAGTTGGAGTCTTTAGGGGCTTGTCAGAGAATCTGCATTCACTGGACTTGTCTTCTAACAAGCTAGTGTCAATCAATAAAGATGTCTTCAGTGCATTAAAAGCCAAAGCCAACTTATCCAACAATCCTTGGCTCTGTGACTGCACACTCCAACAGCTCGTTGAGAGAGTAGAACTGGTTGCTGGTACCTCTGATGGGATTGTGTGTGATGCCTCTGCACGGAAAGAGCACATTGGCAAGCCTTTTCTGCAGTTGATTGGAGACATAGATTTCTGCAACATCTATAAAAAGACCACAGACATCGCCATGTTGGTCACCATGTTCGGCTGGTTCGCCATGGTGATCTCATATTTAATCTACTATGTCCGGCAGAATCAAGAGGATGCCCGACGACACTTAGAGTATCTCAAGTCCTTGCCCAGCAAGCAGAAGAAGTCAGAAGAGTCATCTACAATTAGCACTGTAGTGTGACCAAAATTAATAATCCTTTCACCCTCACAAATCCCCAGGAAACTATTGTCCATTGGAGTAGATAGGTTTTACATCTACTTCGGGTGGATCATGTCTACTAGATGCTTGAATGCACAATGGCTGAAGAGACTGTTATTAAACAAAGAATGAAAATTTTAAAAGACTTAAGGAGGTAAGGCCTTGCTTATATAAAAGGCCTCTCTTACTTTCATTCCTGAGCAATGAAAAAACACAAATAATCATAAATCATAGCCATGGTTGAATTCACTGGCACAATTCAATGTATGGAATAGTGCCATGTTATGTATCAGTTATTTCTCAGTCCTGCAATGGAGGCACCGTCACACCCAGACTTTGCAAAACCTCCCAGCTCTCAACTTTTACTATTCCAAGGAGGAAGTTCCCATCATATAATGTTCTAGAGATGCCAAGAATTGGGAGTGAGATGATTCTGTTGTTTCCTCTTGTTGTCATAAGGATTTTGCTGCAGCCCTAACTTACTGGAGTCAAGAGCAAATTTCCCCAACCTGATTCCCACTAATTTTATTGGGCTTTTAGGAGTTGCCCTACACAGTGGTAGTATTCTAAGTCTTGGGAAGGCAGAATAATAATAATAATAATAATAATAATAATAATAATAGTAATAATTAAGTACTAGAAGACATGCCAGCCTGTTATTCATGTGCAAATAATTCCAAATTCAAATACTGATCCTTTTCTTTGAACGCACAGTTGATAACCACTGTTGAGTTTCCTCTCCAATGCTTCATATCAATTTGTTTTTTTAAAAAATAAATACTTTTCTTATTTGCAGGAATCTATTAGTATATTAAGTATAGAGGGAGGGACAGAAAGAAGGGTCAAAGAATACTTTAAGCCTTTCTTGCCAGTTTTACTGCTTTTGTAAGATTCTTTATGGGGCCTATTTAAAAATGGAAAATCCCAATTGAAGTGATGCAGCAAAAATTCAGAAAAGGGCACAAAAAAAAAACATAACCACCTTGATTCAGAGAACAACAGGAACAGCAGAAGCTGCAGACAAGGTATTTGCTTCTGCAACCAGGTCAGCTATCTTTGAAGTTATGTACATAGCTACTTTGTGTGTAGGGGAAGAGGCAGCATGTGATTTCACCTGCTTCAAAACGTCTTTGCCCAGTACATGGCTTGGTGAAGTCGTGTCCTAAGTAAGCAACCTTGTCTGCAGGTCTGTGTTCTAAGAAAATGAAATCTGCCATGCTGTGACTTCACTTGATCAAGGTGTGATTATTCTTTTCACTCATTTTCTTTCTCGTTACAAAATGGTTGCATCGTGACACTAGTGATAGAGGACTTCAAAAAGCCTAACAGTTGAGAGCTTTGTTCATTCTGATGAAATAACTTAGAAAATAATAATTACACAGAAATCATCAACCAATAGCCAACATTATTTAGCTGGGCACCTATAAGCAACATATGTCACATGACCAAGAAATGTATAGCAGTTGTCATTTTTTTTTTCTTCTCAAGGGGAACACTGCACACTTTCTTTGGCTAAATTTTCTGGACTTAAAAAAAGTGGAAATTCAAACACATGTCAGTAGTTTTTAAAATGGGTCAATTTTTAAATATAATCTGTAGCAATAGCTGGATATCCATTTTGCTGGAATGCTTCACTTCTACTCATGAATATGGACTTATGGATCACTTATATAAATATTTGGATAAGTAGTCAAACATGAACTGGAGGATACATCTACAATATATGTAAGGTATAGAATAGAATAATGAGGGTTATGTTCTTCAATACCTTTTTAAAAAACAAAAACAGTTCTAGAATCAAATATGAGAATAACTTAACTGGATTCCAAAAGAGCATGGCTTCCTTTCCATTTGTCAGAACCAGAAATATGAACCTGTGAAATGGAGGAAAGGAGGGAGGGAGCCATTCACATCTTGCATTTTGTTATTTCTTCCCTCCTAGAAATGGGTCTGCTTGTGTGAATAAGAATCCAACACTTGAGCAATGATAAAAAATGTTTTTATAACAGCTTTCCTCAAGCCAGCATTTTCCGGATGTGTCAGATATAACCCCCAGCAGTCTCAATATGTAGCAGGATTGGGGATATTAAGAAATGCAGTCTTACGTACTTGGTGCCTGTCAGGACTGTGGCTCATACTGGAACTCTTAATACAATTCATCCTCTGTGGTCAGCATTGTTAAAATAGGGCCACTAGCAGTATGGCTGGTCCTTGATGCCTGTCTATTCTTCCTACCTATCTTCATGAATGTAAGCCAGATATTCTCACATCTCAGCTGTGATACCCTCCATATCTCCAGTTATCAGAAATGTGACAGGAATTGACATGGTTGAGATCCCCACATTGTGCTACTCACATAAGTAGGTTCTTTTTAAGGGAAACAAAATTATCCAGATGTAACACTTGGCAATGGCTCCAACTAAGACATAATGTCAGTAGAAAATGTAAACAAATCTGATGTCTCCTGCTACCCAACTTTGCACCACCTTTATATATACCAATGTGCCATTTTCAAGGGTTGCTTTGTCAAGATTTCCCTAAATACTGGAAGAAGCAAATGTGGAGAACTTTAGGGAAGTGTGCTTGGAGACTGTTTTTACTTAATCTGGATATTGAGGTTCTTAATATTGGAGATGGAGCTGTAGGCAATGAAACCATCTGTGTGGCATATCATTCAAAACTGCCATTATGACCTGGAGGTCCACCTGTATTCCTCATGTGCCTACCTGGTTTGTATTTGAGGGAATTCTGCCCTGCCAGGTTATTAGACCATCTTACACTCTGCTCTGGCCCATGAGGGTAAGAGGTAGAGATTGCATCGACCTGCCATACTCTCAAGTGCCCTTTATTGAGAGGTTGCCTCCTCAAGAGCTTTACGGTCTGGTTTTTCAGGGCAGAGCTTTTTGTGGGTGGACAAGGTTTTTTTTGCAAGTTCTACCTACTTTGTAACAAAATTCTTCCCTTGATTTTCAAGAGGTTCCGTCTTCTGTTTCCTTACCAATAAAAGCCAAAACGCCTTCATTGGAAGAAAGAGATTGTGCTGCTGTTGTGTACCATCAAACAGAAGGGGCACTGGTCACCAAATGTTTGTGTGAGGATCCAGATGAGAGCTGACCTGCTACTGTGACCAAGTATTGAGGAAACACAGGATGAGAAGAATGTACACGCTCTCTTTCTCCGTTGATCAGCAGCCTTATGCCTTGAGCTTTTCAAACTTAGTACCTCTTCTCTACATTCCCAGTATGCAGTTGGACTCCTCTAATGGGATGCTGGTAGTTTACAAAGAGCTGCGCACAAAGAAAATCTTGAGAAATCAGAATGCTCACTGAAAAACCTTTACACATGCACAAAAGGGAGAAAACAAAGAAGTTATGTAATAATCAAAATATTTCCTGTTTTCCCTTCCCCAACAATGTTATTTATTTAATTTTCTTTTCCCATGAAAAAAGATAAATAAACAATAATTAAGCAGGATATATTGGATGGTGCCATGATGTTCTTGTGTCTCTGGAAAGAGGTCCTTGTTTTCACACAGCTGAACTGATGGGATGGACCAAGATATGTGGGTTCCTGCAGTGGGCAAAATAGATTGTTAGATGATGGATGGATGGATGGATAGATATAGATTTTGTAGTGCACTTATTTAGATATAACCACATACCAAATAAAAATACTACTAAATATTAATATAAATGTCTCCTGTTTTTGCTACAAAATTAACTCAGTTTTGAATCAGAGAACCTAACATGCTGTTGGAAAGGTATGGATCTTCTGATTGCTTCCAAAAAATTCTGCAAAGAGAAGCACATACTAATTTGATAAATAGGAAAATTGACTACTTTTGCATTGGCATTATGAAACTGATTTAAGTTAATATGAATTGTTCAAATTAGTAGTCCCCCAAAAATCAGTTTAGAAAATTAACTAAAATACATGATGGATGAGGCAGGTGAGAGGAAAGAGATCTTGATCTTTGTTTCCACTAAACAACTGGTAGACAGGAAAAGATTCATTTTTTAAAAATGCTAAGTAATGAAAGAAAAATGGTGTAAAGTTGCACACTTTCCACAACAAAAATGAAAGAACACTCTATAACATAAGATGACAGCAACACCTGAAGCTTAAAATATATAGCCTTCTTGGCACTTCCTATTTCTCCTATGGTTACAAGTTATATGCCTTGTACTGTACTCAATTACTACATATATCATCATACTTTCATATGTATATGAAATACCAGTTGCATTTTGGAAAACTACTGCCTTTGCTAATATCCCACACAGAGACTCAGATTCTACTTGATATTACCCTAATATCATTGGACAAGAAAATTTCTTGCTACAAAAAATAAAGATCTTCAACAGCCTCTTTCTGGAGTTGCTGCCTTAAGATTGGGATAGAACATGCCTGCTAATTCAGCTTCTTTCTGGAGATGTTCAGGACTCATTCATGGAGCTTGTTTCCTTGTGCTCCTCCTTCTGAGAAGTTTAGGAGATGGGTGGTTTCAGTTAACTAGTTGTAACTGAATAATTTTGGCCCTGACCCCTCATAATCACCACAGGAATGAGAATCAGGGTAAAATAATCCCTAAATCATACCTTGTATTTAGCTGGGCCTTAGCAAAAATGCACAACTGATTAGGTCCTCAATTTTAGAAGTAGTCAGGCAAGAGTAACTATTTTATTGAGCCCTTTTTGGATTAAAATACACTATAGCCGAATTTCAACACTTGGTGGGGCAGCAAAGATACTTTTATTCTTCTGACTTACTAAATGCCTCCCCGACTTCCTTTTTATAGTGTTCAAGGCTTAGAAACAAGATATTACTACCCTACTTTCAGTGAAGAATATGTAATACTATCTTATCCTTGAATGAATAAAAGAAGCCTTTGGGGATTTGTGAATTGGAGAACAAGGTCATATCAGAGCCTTTGTGATAAGGTTACCATCTTCTTCCTCATTTCTTGGGCATGAGCCTGCAGAATTCCCAGTGAACACGGTGCAAAATCTGGGAACTGTAATTTCAACGTATTTGGAGAGCAACAGGCCCAGGAAAGCAATATTATGTCTTGGCTATCAGATTAATGTATTGCTATCAATGCAATAAATGGGACAAATGTGTAAAGATCTAGAAAAAAACCTTTATTTTAATTATTACTTTGGCAGGAGCTGGTTGCACAATCCAGTTTTATTTCTTAGGGGTTTGAAAAATAATTATTTTCCAGAACAAACTGACATGGAAAGGAATGGAACTTGTTTTCTATATTTTTGAGATAACAAAGGTGTGTCTTCCAGGATTAGTTTGTCTTTAAAAACCCACTGTAGCTATAGCAGTGGGAGATCTTTGCGCTTCCTTTCTCTAACTCTTCTTGGAATGTTATTCAAGTATCTTCTGGATCATGTGAAGGCAAGTATCCCCTGGACCAAGAGGCTGGAACCAAACTGATATTTTGAAAGCTGAAGGAGACCTGCCTGACTGTTTTATTAATTGATTGTGTGCATTGTTTTCGCCATGATGATCTGTCACTAAGTTCACGTCTTATGAGGGTGTATCCATCTGCCTTCTGCTGGTCATCTTGTTCTCTTTCCCTCCATTTTCCCTAACATTAAAGCCTT